CATTATAGGAAAAACATAATTTTCCAATTAATTTGACCGATTATGAAATATTGTCTTCATAGAAAACAGTTTCTAAAAAATAATAATTTAAAAAATAACCTGGCTTGATGGTGGTGTTAAAATTTCAAAGGATTCTTATTATTAAAATAAAACTTTTGTATGGCAAAAATAAAAAAAATGACTGATGATCTAGAGTGAAAAGCAAATGTCAGCCTCCACTTCTAGTCCTACTTCCTAGAAACAAACAATTATGTTTAACATTCTGCCTTTCTTTCCTTTTTTCCCCTAGGGGTTATTATTATAACCTTCCTTGACCAATATTGATTTATTCACCTATAATTGACTTCTAACTTTTTATTATGGAAATTTTCAAGCATAAAAAATAGTAGAACTCAGTTAATTTTAGATATAGATATATTACTAGGGGGCATGGGACAAGATGCCCACTGCCTTGGGGAGATGTCAGGCTGCAATCCTCTGAGAGAACCTTCTCCTTTGATTTGAGAGCTCTGGTTCCTCAGAGGGTCCTTTCCACTCCTCTGGAAATGAAGACCCAGGGGCCATGGAAGAATCTGGGTCTCTCGTTGCCAGGAGTGCTTCCTTCAGGCAGAGGATAGGTTGGGAACCAACATATGTTGCTTCATATGGTATCTCACATCATGGGTACCACTGATTACCTCCCACTGAGGGCATTTCAGCAGGTGTTTCAGCTGTCTTCAGGAGGAAGACTGACCCCTGAATGTTCTGACCCCATAGAAACCAAATGCAAAATACGCTGTCTCCCATTTCCAAGGGGATTAAAAGTTGGCAGTCAGGATGGCCAAGTAGTGCTTTTGGGACAAATGAATGTGGGTGAAAAACTTCTTACCCCCTGTTGTTGTTATTGCTGTGATAATTGTTTAATTGTTCTGTGATGGTTCCTAAATCTGAGTCTGCTCTGGCAGGAATTTGCAGGGGAAGGCCTTCGAACTTTGGCCATTGCGTACAGAGATCTGGATGACAAGTACTTTAAAGAGTGGCAGAAGATGCTTGAAGATGCAAATGCTGCCACAGATGAGAGAGATGAACGGGTGGCTGGGCTGTATGAAGAAATTGAAAGGGATTTGATGGTATGAGCTTGGCAGCTTAATGGTTTGTATTTACAGAAGGAGTTGTGAGTGTTTAGAGATTTGCCATTGAAGTAACCCATTGGCTAAATCATCTTGCACACAGCAAATGTTACTCTTTGAAACACGAAATCATGCTTTATATGATGGCTTTGAGTTTGCCATGTATAGCCCTGAGAGCCTAGAGGATTATTTCTATGGTAGTTTATTCATTTGGTAGTCCCCCAGGGGTAGAAGATGTAGAGTCCCTATTATTGTCAACCTCTGGTTTGTTCTTGAGGTTATTTTATTTTTTTTCTCCTTGCTTTATGATCTACCATTTCAAAGTAGGGAAACTTGCCATGAAAAGTGAGGTTATAGCTCTAAGCCATCCTAGGCCCATGAAGTTCCAGTGATATCAGCGCTGTCCAGAGCATGATCCACTCTAGAAACCACTCTTCCCTGAGGCCCCAGTGGCCAGGATGCTCAGCTCTTGTGAGGTACTGGGGAGGAGCACACACTGTTTATCTTTGGCTGAAATATTGCCAAAGAAACTTCACTTTTTAGTTTATGACATCTGCTGTTCTGTCATTTAGGAGAATGGCTCTACTTTTCTGTGATCCTGACTATGAGATGAGGGCTCTCCTGGGACCCTTTCATGTTGACATAAGCGGGGAAGCAGGTGGGGAGTTCTTAAGTGCTTAGAAACCTAGATGACTTATGATCATTTATGCTAATATATCATCTGAGCATATCAGACCCTTCATGTAAATTTGAACTTTCAGAATCTCTGCCAATAATTGATGTGCCCTTCAGTTGGTTTGATTTGAGCACCTCCTCTTGAGGTCCTTCCCAACCTACCTGTACACATAAGAAGATGATTGCTATAGCAATGTATCATAATTTCCATCTTTAATTCATGTTTCTTGACCTCTATATTCTGTGATTGAAAGCCAGAGATGTTATGGATGTTGTTTGCATGCCTTAACATAAGGTATTCTCTATTTTTCAATGAAGCTACTAGGTGCTACTGCTGTAGAAGATAAGCTACAAGATGGTGTTATTGAAACTATTACAAGTTTATCATTAGCCAATATCAAGATCTGGGTCCTAACAGGAGACAAACAAGGTAATTTGATAATGGATGATGATGATATCTTAAAAAGAGGGCCTTGATTCCTATGGTAAAATTGTAATTACTCAGAAAGCTTAATTAATTAGATATTTACTCAGTTGTCAAATAGGAAAGAGTTGAAATACAAAAAGCAAAGCTATTATATTGCAATAATTTACTATTTAAAAACAAAAAAATCTAACAAATTATCTTCTACAGTACTCACTGGAGTCAGTTGCATTTCAGCTCAATTGCTTCTTAAATGTAGCTACACATATAGGAAACAATGGAATTAAAAATGTTTAATTATTGGTTCATTTGAGTACTGCTCCCAATCAGGACAGAGAACACCTCGGGGAGACCTCAGGGCTATTCCTTTAGTTTCTTGATGGTAGGGAGGTTTGGGATCTTAGGAGAGGGATCAGAGGGAGCAGGTTTTGGGGAGGCTCAGGGAAGCAGCTATTTATCAACTGATATGGATATAATTTTGGTAATTTACCATAGCTGTACTAGTTCAACCTGGCTGAATTCTAGGACTGCCAATACAGCTGTACAATGAGAGCTGACCCGATTACAGGCATGACAAAATGCTAAGTCATCAGAGAAAGAGTCATTTGTAGGGGTTCAATACATTTTGGATCTGTTGCTAGAAGTAATGGTTAAAACAAAAATGATTTTATGTTTGGCCAACAGTAAACCAGAAATATTCAGTTAATTGGCACACATGTATTTTTAAGATTCTATTTATTTGTTATACATTTTTTAGAATGTTGGAGAATTTATAGATATGATAAATCAGTTCTCTGTATGTTCACCCAAATCACCAATTACAAAAAATAAACAATAGAGAGTTGAGTTCTGTGTTGTGTTACTAGAAACTTTCTAGATTTTTGTGTTGATCAGTGGACGCATTCATCACTATTAAATTAGTTATAAATATCCACAAGCATATTCTTACTTACTTTAATTTCTGTAGTTTATAAAAGGATGTACTAAGATTTTATCAGTTGCCTTCCTTGACGTAGGACGAATCAAATGACTGTGTAGAATTAGAAACAAATGACTTTATTGACAATGGAAGGGTCACCTAACCATCCTAGAGGCCAGTTTTGTAAAAGTAGAGGAAGGACCATGCAACATCATGTAATTGTCCAGTTATCAAGCAATAGCAGTTCCGGGTGGTTTCTGATGTGACAGTCAAATTCCAAATTTCTATTCACTTAATGGGAAAGTGGCAATGTTGTGTGTGAGAGAAAAATAAAAATTTCATAAGAGTATTTTTTTTCTGCTCAACTGAACATTTTGTAAGTTTTTTGCAGTTTTTCTACCATATCATATTGAATAATGGCTAAATTTAGTGTTTTGGCACTCCAAACGGGCGCTCCAAAGGCAGTACTGGGACTTCAAGTAAAGAGTTTTTGATTTATGTATTTCACTATATAACAAGATCTTAGGGTATTTTCATGAAGACTGATTTTGGGAATCAAAAAGTTTTTCAAAAATTAGACGAGCAGGCTGAGAATTCATAGATGTTGCTCCTTTTTCATGGTCTTAGCAAGTGATACATTTGAACATGGAACCCAGGTCCTTGAATTTCCCACTGGGTCTCTTGTATTTTATTACCATTATGTTTTCTCTGACATAAAGAGGGCCTGTAGGCTATAAGGAAATATGGCAATGGCCTCAAAACTTTTATGGGAAAGGTACTTAGGTTCTTAAGAAATGTTCTTTATTTAACTGAGGTGGGCTTTATTTTGTATCAGAAACTGCCATCAACATTGGCTATGCCTGCCACATGCTGACTGATGACATGAATGATGTATTCATTATAACAGGCAACACGGCAGTAGAAGTCAGAGAACAACTCAGGTAAGTGTTAAAGGAAGAAAGAAAGAAAGAAGGAGACAGAAAGGGGAGGGAGGAGAAAAGAAGATAAGATAGTTGAGAAAGCAGACGGGCACTCTAGTTTCCTGTGGTCTTAATATAGTATAATAGAACTCTCTTCTGCATGTTTCTCTAGGCTATCAATTTCGATGAAAAACTAAGACCACTTTGACATCAATGGTTAGGCATTGTCTTCAGGCCTCCAATATTTCCCAAGTATTTTTAGAAAAGGATTAAAATTGCTGTGTTGAGTTAGCCTTTAAAACTATGCACCGGTGAGCACCTGTTAGCTCTTAGATGGTGATGAATGATCAGTATTGCTGAGGGCACTGGTGAAAAATACCAATTCCCTAGCTTCACTTGGAACTAAAAGTTAAGAATCTCTAGGGGATGTATCATGGGGATTTATATTTTAATAAGCACCCAAACGGAGCTTATGATTGGATAAACTTGGAAAATACAGCTAAGAAGGTGGTATGTAAAGTTGGAATAGAATCAGCACTAAACAAAGATATGTTGACATAGTTACTGTTCAACCCAGACATACAATGCTTATAAGCAATAGAATACTGTGAAATTTATGTAACTACTGTAGAGTACCATAAAATATTTAAGTGCTAAAATTGGAAGTAAGAGCAGACAAATTTTGAGAAATATTTCTAAAATCTGCCAATTTATTTTACCTTTTTGTTACTTCATTTAAAGAAGAGCATTAAAAAAAGTTATTTCCACAGAACTTAAAAAAATGGTGTCTTATACAATTTTTGCTTGCTGATGTTTGTAGTAGCTTCTCTAAACTCAATCCATTTTGGGTCTGGCCAAGCAGATTGTTGAATTAGAGGCAAACTGTTTATTGCTGTTGTCTAGATGGGGGCCAACCTTCCCTCAGCACAGTAGTGGAGCACTACGGGCTTCCTTAATATGCCCCCATCATTAAATTTCTGTTCCTGAGCCTTGAAAAGAAAGGAAATCTTAACTATCAGCCCTGCCAATAGATACTTGTATATCCAGTCTCCAAATTTCATCTGTTTTATGCGCTGTAGACAACTGCTGTATCATCCTGGTTAGAAGTTATGACTGGAGACTGAATAAAAATCAGTGTATAAAAATTGGGAAACCTAATTATTACCGATATAATTTTATTAATATCTATATAACCTTAATAATAGACTCTGTAGAGTCGATTGGGGAAATATTGATAATTTGTTAATTGTATTAAATTTTTTATTTTATGAAACTAGCTTTCTTTAAATGTTCTTTTGTTTTTTAGGAATTAACCCTTGCCAAGCTAAGATAGATATGAGCAGATCTAGATTCTCAGAAGTCTATTGCCAAGTGCTTGGAGACAGTGCCTGAGATACTAATGCAAGCAGTAAACATGTATTCTCTCATTTCATTCCCAAAGCAACCCAGTGGAAGGCATTGCCATTATCCTAGTTTCACAAATTAGGAAGTTGAGGCACAGGTGGGAAAATAATACTCTCAAAGGTTCACAACTAGTCGGTGGTTCAGCTGGGATTTGAATCTAGACAGCATAGCTCCAGTGCCTGTCACCAAATCACTTGCCATGTGTCTCCCTAAACACACATTGGCAGTATTCTTACTCCCTTTAAGTAATTAATATAAAAAATGTTGTTGTTGAGGCATCTTACTAGTTCATGTGAGGTCACACACCACATTAGCAAATAGAGCAAAATAAATTTCAGGGAGAGACAGCAGGCGTAGAAGGATAGGGGCTTTGTGCTAACTGGACTCAAGTTGGAATCTTGGCTTCATGTTCACTGGATGGCTGACTTTTGACATATTAGTCAAACTTCCTTTGATTGGTTTCCTCATTTGTAAAATCAGAAAATATGCAAATATTTACCCTACAGATTATTTTATTTTGGAGGACTTAATGAGATAAGGACTTAAAGCTTTATAGTAGTTCCAGGAACAACCTTCTTGCCTTCTTTCCCTTCTTTCGATTCTCTTTCTTCCCTTCTCACTTCCTCTTTTCTGCAGCTGTTGTCCTCAATCTTTCCACCACTAAGGACTACTTTTATTAACATTTCCTCAATGGACTCAATGGAGTCTCTATTAAAATTATATAAATAACTAATAAAATTATATTAGTAACAATTAATTAGACTTTCTGATTTTTATTTGGCAAAGACATGCAATCTCCAGTCATGGCTTCTAACCAGCATGATATAGCAGTTTTCTGCACCAGGTTGATGTAATGGTAGCCAAAAATAACATAAAACTTTAGAAAAAATTGGAGTCAATGTATTCTTATCACAGATAAATCTACAATTTTTATTAACCTTCTTAAGATATTGAAAAGAACAACCTATTACAACTTTTATGGATCCCCTTCCTCAACTAGTTACACTGGATAAGGATATTGCAGGTTGATAGAACAGTATACACAAAGGCATAAAACATGAAACAAATCACGTTATTTTCCAGGAGCAATATTCCAAGTTGTAGCTAGAGTGTATGACAAAGTTAAGTATGGGGACATTTTTTCAGAGACAGATTGGTGATAGGTTGACTGACAAGCAAAAGTGGTTATATCTTATCCTGAAGGTAATGGATGGATGTGCATGACTTCTAAGCAGAAGAGTGACAAATTTAATTTTGCATTTTAGGAATAACACCTTAGGGACAAGATAGATGAAGTATGTTTAATGGAAACTCATACATAGTAAGGGGAGATGCATCAGGAGGCTGTTGGAATACCTAAGTTTAGAGATGATGAGGGTTGAACTAAGGCAGTGAAGCTGTGACAATGGGGAAGGAAAGACTGAGATGAAATTGACGGCTGTTTTGGAAGTAGAATGGATAGGACTCAGATTTGATTGGCTGTGATGGGACTTAGAAGGAGGCTGTGTTATTTTGAGTTTGTCTGACTTTCACAGTCCAGAATACACTAAAGGGAGCAAAAACAGAAACTTGTTTAATTGTATATAACTGGACTTGAACCCCATTTTTGCTTGATGACAGCATAATTGAGCTAGGTACCTTTGGGTAATTTTCATTCAAGTCTAGGATGCATGAGTGCCTCACCTGTCACTGGTCCTCAATATCACCTTGCTGGCATCTAGCGCTTACCATCTCTATGTCCCTCTCTGATCTTGGGTCTCTTTGGGTTGCTGACTGTCTTTCTCAGCTGACTTCCACACCCTGGAGAAATGAGGAAAATCGGCTGCTTTTCCTCATCTCTCTGTGTCCAGGAAGACTTGTGCTCTCACATGGCCACCTCTGTTTCTGAAATACCCTTAGTCAACTACCCTCTATGTCACTATTCCACACTCAGATTCTCAGCCCACATGGCTCTCCTATCCACAACTGGTTCAGGGTGTGAGTCAGGACCAGCCTCCTTTTAGTGACTCCCCAACATCTAAGCTCCTTTTCAAAGGCCCTTTCCTTGGAGGATTCTGGGAATATGGTGGAATAGAGGGAACCTAAATCTACCTACTCCCATCTATGAACTGAATCTAGACCTACATACAGACCATTTCACTCTGAAGAACAGAGACCAAAGCAGACACCTTCTATAAAATGAGGGACAGAAAGATAAAAAAAACAAAACAAAAAACCAAAACAAAAGGAGAGACAAAGACATAGTACCTGTAGGAACTCCATCCCCAGTATAGCAGTTGGCAGAGGGGAAGGAGTGGCATATCATATCACTGAGAGAGCCAGGCATGGACTCCCTGTCCTGAGGTGCAGGAAGAAAGCCCAGCAGTTTAAAGTGCAACTAGACCATAAGTGAAAGAACCTAAGTTTTAGAACTAATCATCCACCACCTGGCAAGGAAATAAGAGGCAATCCAGGATTGGATAGCTGGCCGGTGCCATTGTTTGCACTCCTTCCACACATCTTAGGGAGACCAAGAGCAGGATCTGGGCAAGCTCCAGTGGTCTTGGCTTTTGGTCTGCCATTATACACTAGCCTAGCCCCCATCAGCAGGACAGAAAAGTTATGCTGCTCACAGGGAGGGTGCACAAATCTGTGGCCTGTGCCACTGACCCAAGTCCCAGAGCACTGCAGGGGAATGCATATGCTGGGCCTGATCCCTGGTCACGAGTGGGCCCCAATGGATGATGATGTGGTAATTCCCTGGAGCAGCCCAGAACACACAGGGGCCATGAGTGGAACACATGCATGCATGGTGTCTGATCCCAGCTACAAGAGGGATCTGTGGGCACTGATGAAGGAATTCCTGGGAGCAACCTAGAGCATGAAAGGGCTAAGGGGAACATTCACAGAGAGTGATGTCATGCCACCTATGCTGGTAGGCATCCAGCACAGGAATTCTCCAGAGTCATCCCAAGTGGCTCAGAGTGTGCACAGACATAGGGGTGAGGTGGTACATGGGAGTCAACTTGTGCCAATCTGGGAGTTACCTGGAGCACACCCTTGACCCTCTGCTGGACCACCACCTTCCCCCCACCAGCACATAACCCACAGGTGTCCATCCAGGATCCTCTCCAATGGGCACCAAGGCCATTCCCCTGGAACCATGCCCTGCAAAGCCCCAGCACCAGAAAAATCCCATCTTACACTTAGTTGACCTCTGGCTTGCCCAAGCCACAAGGCATACCCAATATACAAAAGGGACTCTCTTACTCAAGGCCAATCCTTCAAGATTGGGTAAGTGAGCTTTTTCAACTAATTCAAAGAACCAAGTACATAAAGTCATACAAAATAAGGAGACATAGGAATATGCTCCAAATGATAGACCAAGAAAAAAACCCCAGAAAAAATGAAATAGAGTTAACCAATCTAACTGATAAGAGTTTAAAGCAATGATAATAAAGATACTCCCTGGACTTGAGAAAATAGTAGAACTCAAGGTGGACCTCAACTAAGATACAGAAAATCTAAAAAAAGAACCAATCAGAGATAAAGAATTCAATAGGTAAAATAAAAAAAAATGCACTGGAGGGAATGCACAGCAGACTAGAGAATGCAGAAGAATGGATCAGTTACTTAGA